TAGATTGGTTAAATAAATAAATAAATAAATAAGAAGCAAATAAAAAACACTGGCTGAACTATCACAAATCATAGATTCTAAGTATATCTACAAAATTAACTATCGTTTCTGACATGGTATTGCCGAACATTTAGCCTTTTTTTGGGCATATTTTCCGATTTTGTTTATTTGGTTACCGAAATATTTAGGAAGTAGCCTTTTTAATAATCTGAAAGAAAAATTTATACATAACAAACTGTTGTCAAAAGAGTTCTGCATAAACAAATAGTGACTTACTTAGTAAACCTGTTATTGTGCAAACTGAAGGTATAAGCAGCTTTTCCAATTTCGCACTTAAACCTTTCTGTACAGTCCTCGCCATCTAACACTTGCAGAGCAACACGAGACATGCCACTAACGTCGTCCAGTTCACTTCTAAATTTAATTTTTCCAAATTTTGGCAAACACAAAATGCTTATTATAATCATAGCCGCCATTCCTATAAACCCTGATATTGCCATAAACAAAGGTTGAAGTGATTTCTTCTTTTCTGATACCGACTTTATTTCTTCTACTTTTACGTTTACCTTTACAACAGATAGAAACGATGTTTTTTTTTTTAAATTTAAAGTAATTAAATTAAAATTTACCTGATGATTATGAGTATGGTAATTGTATAACGCGTTTGGGGTTGAAGTTTTTGTTCCTGGGTAGTAATAGGATTCCGAATTATACCCGTCAGAGTAGGTTGATCCCTTAGATAAGCAAAAAAAGATACTACAGTTAATTTTCTATTTCGCGTCTTCGTAAAAATTGTAGTGCGAACTTACTTTAGATGTTTCGACGTGAGATGAAACAAAACTCTTAAGTGGAATGTAATAGTAATAGTATTCTTCTTCGTCGGAGTGTTTCGATGGTTTCTGAGTAAATTGTGGTGGAGAATTCAAAATCTTTCCACCGTTAGATGCGGCAGCTTCATAAATTGCCATTAGTTCACCCTTTGTTAAGGAAAGTGGAGGAATCTGATTTTCGTGAACTCCGACTCGATTTTCGGCGTTTGAGTTATCTTCAAAATGCGATTCCTTATTTTGCTCGATGAGAACTTGTACTGGGTTTTGTTTCCTGGTAGCACTACTGAGATCCCTAATAGCATTTTGAAGATAATTTGCACTGTCTTCTTCTTCAGACGAACACAAATAAACTGATAACATTAAAGTCACTAAAACTTGAAGCCGCATTGCTGGAATCGAAGAAAATACCCCGATCATGGTTTTGAATATTATGGAAGGAAGAAGTTTTAACGGATTCAAGAGAAAAATCGAAACCAGTTTTGAAACTGTTTCGGTTAGTATAGGACAACGAATGAATGTTTGATAACAGTACGCGACTTCTTTTCACCGCTACGTCCCGACAAATCACATACATTTCCAAGTTATTAAGGCGTGAAAACAAAATTCACGCTCGGTGCAGCACGCGTCATTCGACGATGTACATTATCTTTCATGTAGTAACAAACTGCTGTATATATTATTACATTATGCCCTACTAACCAACATTACCAGCCCGATAAACAAGTTCTGTTTATACTAATTGATATGGGCACATCTTTCGAAAAACTTCGCCGAACGTTTCGAACAAAATCCAACAAGTTCCAAAACCGTATGTGATCCTGAATATTCCTTCGCAATAAATACCTTGCTTATAAACTTAATTAAAATATCCATGTTCCAAATAATTATTACATTTGCTATAAATTTCTTAACCATTGGTATTCTTACTTAAACAATAATTATTTATCAAATTTCTGACATACTACCTAATTCCATAGTTTCCCTCGACGAAAAAGCATTACAGGTATAATTTTTTGCAAAATTATAGAATATTAAAACCAGGTTGTTTTCTATTTTGAGCTTAATAGAGATCAGTGGTCTCGAAAACTTTTTTTTGTCAGAGAAAAATATCTTTCCGTATAATAAATATGACTAAAACGTAAACTATATATATATCCCTGTTTAAAGTGCAAATATCTATTTATATTTCCTATTTTAAATAAATTTACTGAGTATTAATGTCTATTTGGATTTGAATGTTTTTTAAACCAACTTATCATTTTGAAAATTTAAATGTAAACCCCAGTGGCCTAACTTCCACAGTAATTTAATCAAATTGACACAATATAATTTGTGTAATATTATTCTATATGAAAGCTGTCATCTTAGATATAGATATAATCAAATTATCCAGAAAGTAGAATGTAGAATTTTTGAAAATTGAAAATGGTCGGGAGCGCACATTTAGTGAGAAAGCCTCAGAGAAGATTATGAAAGGAAAGCAAGCCGTAAGTTGGTTGACATAAATATTTGTATGCAACTTTTAATTGGCCTTCTGTTGCAGTTATATAGCGCTCAGATGCAAAAAAATTCACGTTAATCGTCGTGATTATAACTTAACGCATGCACTTAACATGTCATCTTACATTTACCAAAGCGACGAAAATAAGACCGCGGATTATCAAGCAAACTATAACATACAACGAACCTATATATATATAAATTTAATTTTTAATCAAAAAGCACTTTGAGCGATGGTACTAATTTCGCAATTTTTGTTGGTACTTTTAAAACTCTTATTATTAGAACCAATTCAGTTGCAATGTATGAATGTGTGTTAAACTGCCACTAAAATTTACTGCTTGCGTATCCGACGTAGTTATGCATTTAAAGTTATTACTTAAAGTCCCGTTCAAATGAAAAGTGGTGTATTTATATGGCGACAACGTTTAGGTTTCTCTGTAAAGAAGTTCGGTTGAAAACGGTACATGATAACATAGGAATATGCTTATAAAGCTCGCTCATACAATTTAATAGCCTCTTTCAACAAGTATTTGAAAGCTTGCTTTATTAAATGTTCCAATTTCTGGTTGACGGATTTCCAGGAGATTGTTCGTTTTGCACTTAGGTGCACATGCTGAAAGTTTACAACATTATATTATAGATAAATAATTGTAAACTCTTATCGGAAACACAATATGAATTTATTAAAAATAGAAGAATTAGGTTTTCGAGGTTTAAGCTGAAATTTTGAATAATAATTTTCTTAAGAAAAAAAAGGGTTTTACGTATGTTTGTTTTTTAATAAAATGTTCGATAACTTTGTGCTCTGAAAAAATTCCGTGGGATAAAGTAGGTCTCAACTGAAGTGTTGTGAGAATTGATGGATGCGTGAGTTTACCTTATGGGGTGATTTTCGTCTGTCAGCTGGAACGCTGACCGAAAAAGCGTCGTGAGTTATGTGAGCTTGACCGAATGACAGAATAATCTTTTGGGGACATGCCCGAACTTTGTTAATAAATGGGTAGCGATCAGTAAATGCAAATATATGTAAATATGTCCACAGAATAAAGAAACCCTCGATCCTGCCCGTCAATGCCCTTGATGATAGTTAGAAATACGAAAATAGAGAGAACGTATATTTGCTTCAGCGTTATTTCCATCAATTTACCGAAGTGCACGAATAAGGAAATTTAACGATTTCGTTTAGGTGTACAATTTTCTTCATGGTTTAGTGGCTTTCAAAACGTATAATTTTAGTTATATTTATTTATAGGTACTCTGTTATAAACGCACTAAACAAGTAATAATAAAATTACTGTAATCACACTTTATTTCCGGAACATTCAACAGCATTTTCGATTGAAAAAAGAAAACAATGCAAACAAGTAAGACTTTTTTTTTGTAACGATTATTTTTGTTAAGATATTCAAAATAGCGATTGTTTCTTTTTCGTGGACAAAGAGTAAATTACATACAGTTGCAGTTTACGATTGTAATAAATCGGGGTAAATCGGGACGGAAGGATAGGCATGCTATAGTGAAAAGGTCCTGGACTTTAATAGAGCATAGTTTTAGGGCTCCGCTGACCGTCCGTGTTTCAATTAAATACCAGCGCGAGAGACTGGCCATTCGAATAAATTGTATTTGATCATAAACCGAAATGTACGAATTGGATTGCCGAACGTTATCTTCACGGGCATAACAATTCGAAAGTTTAATTACGCAGTTAAGTACCGCTCTGTCTATTGCTGCCATTTAATGATAAGATGAGTGTGGATATTGCCCTTTGGACACAGAAGCAAACTGATAACCTGGCTGCAATATAAAAGCCCTATAACCCAAATTACCCGCACGGCTTTATTTTTCGTTTATTTTTTAACTCAACGGCAAACGCAATATCATTTAATAAAACCGAACAATCCGCCGACAAGACAAAATACCACAGTGTGTTCAAAAGGTATCGCGAATTTTGTGTTTTTCCAGAAATTATTTATTTATTCCTGAATATTTATTTTGTCATATTCAAAGCAATCGCCACCAGAAATTATACACTTGTGCCAACGTTTTTTCCAATCCTCGAAGTACTTCAAAAAATCATTTTTTCTGATCATGTTCAGCTCGTCCTTCGATGCCGTCTTTATCTCCTCCTATGCGTATCATAGGCCTCTTCAGTTTCGGTAACAAGAAAAGTCACAGATGGTCAAATCTGGGGAATACGGTGACTGCGACATTATTAGTGTTGTTTTTGACCAAAAAGCAACGATGTGTGAGCAGGGGCGTCATCATGATGCGAAAACTAATTTCTGTTCTTCCACAAATCCAGGCGTTTCTGGCAAATTACTTCGCGCAAATTGCACATAACTTGCAGGTAATATTCCTTATTGACCATTCGGCCCTGTGGCAAGAACTCATAATGCACCACACCTTTGCAATCGAAGAAAACTTTACATTCGGCCTAACTTAGCACGCTTTTTTCGGACCTGGCTCGTGCGACAGCTTCCATTGGATGATTGAGCTTTGGTTTCCACGCCATAACTATAATCCCATGATTCCACACCAGTTATGACCCTCTGGAGCAAATTTGGGTCCAACAGCTCCTTAGCAATGTTAATGCGATGCTGTTTTTGGTCGAAATTGAGCAATTTTGGTATAAATTTCGCGGCGACCCGTCTCATGCCCAAATCATTTGTAAAAGAAAATCAGGAGCCAATCGATATATTTAGGTCCTCAGCAACTTCTCTAAAGGTGATTCGAAGATTGGCCAATACTATTTTCTTCACTTCATCAATATTTTCGCCTGTTATTGACGTGTTCGGGCATTCACATCTTCTCGGCCCTCTGAGAACATTTTGTACCACCGATAAACGCTGCTTCGGTCCAAGGTAGCTTCACCACATGCCACAGTCAACATTTGGAATGTATCCGCGCACTTAATTTTGTTTTTCACACAAAACTTGATACAGATTCATTGATCCATTTTTTTGGAAAAGGCAAAAATCGAAGACGCGCCAAAACACGTGCAAGCAAAAAAGCTGTCAAAATTTAATAAATTTAATATTTTACAAAAAACTATTTCTTAAACGAAGTAAGTGCCGTTTGATGTTGTAATACGATGTAATTATAAACAAGACCTGAGACGGCTCAGATACCAATTAGTTAAAGGTAAGCCTTTCCTTAATGCAGCTAAGATATCGTTATGCTGTTATATACAACTTCGTTCCCGTATTAAAGGAAAGCTCGGGGGCTTTTCACGAAAGCTCGCCGCGCTCGTTACAGACAAAACACAGATATTCTCATCTACTCCAATATATCTTGTTTACTAAACCTAAACAAAAGCCCTTTAACAAGCAAACTAAGGCAAACTGAAACCGAAAATGCAATCTTTAATTTGTTCTAATTGTGTCATGTTTTTACCACGGTTTTATTAACAGTCTGTTTAATTTTTAATTGATCTGTTTGTCTGTTCAATACAAATTTTGCAAATGTTCTTAAACTAACTTCCATATGAGAGGTATAGACTTAAATATTATCTCAGAATTTGATGGCAATGAAATATTAACTCGTTTTCTTGTCTGTCTGTCTATTTGTCTATTCGGTAGAAATTAAACTAACTTCAAGATAAGCAAGAGGTAAGCTTAAGATAATAGGTCAGAATTGGATGGCATTACAAAATTAACTCGCTAACTGTCTGTTTAGTTGTCTGTTTGTTTTTTGTACAGATTTTGCAGTCGATTATATTTTTCTTAATGCTGTAATCATCAAAACGTTTAAAATCAATAGAAAAAATTCACACACACAATAATAAATGAGAAATAGTTATTCTAAATTTCTCTCGACTGTTTTTTGTACAAATTTTACAGTCGATTATATTTTTCTTAATGCTGTAATCATCAAAACGTTTAAAATCAATAGAAAAATTCACACACACGATAATAAATGAGAAATAGTTATTCTAAATTTCTCTCGACTGTTTTAGCCCCTTATTAGATGTATGATATATTATGTTGATTTGTTATTTTCTTCAGAAGTAGTGGAGGTCCAGAGATGGTCATGTATGCA